TTAAAATACTTTTAAAAAATGAATATTAAAACAAAGTATTTAAAATAACATAATTCAAGAATAGTGAAAAGAATTTGCACACTATAGTTTAATAATTGTTCATTTATTGAAATACTGACACTGTACCATTACTACTTCCACAAACACAGATATATGTATGCCATGACAATATTTTGCAGCACACTAGTTGAGAATCACTGTATTAAGGTGTTGGTACATCACCGATATATACTAATGCCTATAATGAGAAAATACAAATAGAAAATATTCACTTTTCTACCCATCTCCCTTAATGAATTTTATTTCAACCAAATCAACATTTGGTAAGAGAAAACCCAATTCATGCTAGTCCTATGAATGTTGGATCTTTTAAAAATTTAACTTTATCACTTTTTAAATTAGATTTTACTTATTTCAATTAAATTTTTATATATATTTTCATTTGTTTTAACATTTTTGATATCCCATGTTTCCTTAAAGACTTTTCATATCCCACTTTGTTTCATTAAAGACTTTTCATATCCCACTTGGTTTCATTAGAGACTTTTCATATTCCACATGGTTTCATTACAGACTTTTCATATCCCATTCTGTTTCATTAAAGACTTTTAATATCTCACATTATTTCAACATCAGATGAGTTTCAGTCTATCACCTATTCTTTCTAAATATAGATATTAATAATTAATATGAATATATAATAAAATCCACTATGCTATTGTCCCAATAAACATATGATGAAAGCCATAGGATACAATGGTCAAAACAATGTGATAATAACAACAAAGATGAGAGCAACAGTTCATATGATGAAGGCCATATGGATACAATGGTCAAAACATTGTGATAATAACAACAAAGATGAGGGCGACAGTTCATATGATGAAGGCCATAGGATACAATGGTCAAAACATTGTGATAAAAACAACAAAGATGAGGGCGACAGTTCATATGATGAAGGCCATAGGATACAATGGTCAAAACATTGTGATAATAACAACAAAGATGAGAGCAACAGTTCACATGATGAAGGCCATAGGATACAATGGTCAAAACAATGTGATAATAACAACAAAGATGAGGGCGACAGTTCATATGATGAAGGCCATAGGATACAATGGTCAAAACATTGTGATAATAACAACAAAGATGAGGGCGACAGTTCATATGATGAAGGCCATAGGATACAATGGTCAAAACATTGTGATAAAAACAACAAAGATGAGGGCGACAGTTCATATGATGAAGGCCATAGGATACAATGGTCAAAACAATGTGATAATAACAACAAAGATGAGGGCTTACAGTTCATATGATGAAGGCCATAGGATAAAATGGTCAAAACATTGTGATAATAACAACAAAGATGAGGGCGACAGTTCATATGATGAAGGCCATAGGATACAATGGTCAAAACATTGTGATAAAAATACAATGGTCAAAGATGAGGGCGACAGTTCATATGATGAAGGCCATAGGATACAATGGTCAAAACATTGTGATAAAAACAACAAAGATAAGGGCGACAGTTCATATGATGAAGGCCATAGGATACAATGGTCAAAACATTGTGATAAAAACAACAAAGATGAGAGCAACAGTTCACATGATGAAGGCCATAGGATACAATGGTCAAAACAATGTGATAATAACAACAAAGATGAGGGCGACAGTTCATATGATGAAGGCCATAGGATACAATGGTCAAAACATTGTGATAATAACAACAAAGATGAGGGCGACAGTTCATATGATGAAGGCCATAGGATACAATGGTCAAAACAATGTGATAATAACAACAAAGATGAGGGCGACAGTTCATATGATGAAGGCCATAGGATACAATGGTCAAAACATTGTGATAATAACAACAAAGATGAGGGCGACAGTTCATATGATGAAGGCCATAGGATACAATGGTCAAAAAACATTGTGATAAAAACAACAAAGATGAGGGGCGACGGTTCATATGATGAAGGCCATAGGATACAATGGTCAAAACATTGTGATAAAAACAACAAAGATGAGAGCAACAGTTCACATGATGAAGGCCATAGGATACAATGGTCAAAACAATGTGATAATAACAACAAACATGAGGGCGACAGTTCATATGATGAAGGCCATAGGATACAATGGTCAAAAATTGTGATAATAACAACAAAGATGAGGGCTTACAGTTCATATGATGAAGGCCATAAGATACAATGGTCAAAAACATTGTGATAAAAAAACAACAAAGATGAGGGCGACAGTTCATATGATGAAGGCCATAGGATACAATGGTCAAAACAATGTGATAATAACAACAAAGATGAGGGCGACAGTTCATATGATGAAGGCCATAGGATACAATGGTCAAAACATTGTGATAATAACAACAAAGATGAGAGCAACAGTTCATATGATGAAGGCCATAGGATACAATGGTCAAAACATTGTGATAATAACAACAAAGATGAGAGCAACAGTTCATATGATGAAGGCCATAGGATACAATGGTCAAAACAATGTGATAATAACAACAAAGATGAGAGCAACAGTTCATATGATGAAGGCCATAGGATACAATGGTCAAAAACAATGTGATAATAACAACAAAGATGAGAGCAACAGTTCATATGATGAAGGCCATAGGATACAATGGTCAAAAACAATGTGATAATAACAACAAAGATGAGAGCAACAGTTCATATGATGAAGGCCATAGGATACAATGGTCAAAACAATGTGATAATAACAACAAAGATGAGAGCAACAGTTCATATGATGAAGGCCATAGGATACAATGGTCAAAACAATGTGATAATAACAACAAAGATGAGAGCAACAGTTCATATGATGAAGGCCATAGGATACAATGGTCAAAAACAATGTGATAATAACAACAAAGATGAGAGCAACAGTTCATATGATGAAGGCCATAGGATACAATGGTCAAAACAATGTGATAATAACAACAAAGATGAGAGCAACAGTTCATATGATGAAGGCCATAGGATACAATGGTCAAAAACAATGTGATAATAACAACAAAGATGAGAGCAACAGTTCATATGATGAAGGCCATAGGATACAATGGTCAAAAACAATGTGATAATAACAACAAAGATGAGAGCAACAGTTCATATGATGAAGGCCATAGGATACAATGGTCAAAACAATGTGATAATAACAACAAAGATGAGAGCAACAGTTCATATGATGAAGGCCATAGGATACAATGGTCAAAACAATGTGATAATAACAACAAAGATGAGAGCAACAGTTCATATGATGAAGGCCATAGGATACAATGGTCAAAACAATGTGATAATAACAACAAAGATGAGAGCAACAGTTCATATGATGAAGGCCATAGGATACAATGGTCAAAACAATGTGATAATAACAACAAAGATGAGAGCAACAGTTCATATGATGAAGGCCATAGGATACAATGGTCAAAACAATGTGATAATAACAACAAAGATGAGAGCAACAGTTCATAAGATGAAGGCCATAGGATACAATGGTCAAAACAATGTGATAATAACAACAAAGATGAGAGCAACAGTTCATATGATGAAGGCCATAGGATACAATGGTCAAAAAAAATGTGATAATAACAACAAAGATGAGAGCAACAGTTCATATGATGAAGGCCATAGGATACAATGGTCAAAACAATGTGATAATAACAACAAAGATGAGAGCAACAGTTCATATGATGAAGGCCATAGGATACAATGGTCAAAACAATGTGATAATAACAACAAAGATGAGAGCAACAGTTCATATGATGAAGGCCATAGGATACAATGGTCAAAACAATGTGATAATAACAACAAAGATGAGAGCAACAGTTCATATGATGAAGGCCATAGGATACAATGGTCAAAACAATGTGATAATAACAACAAAGATGAGAGCAACAGTTCATATGATGAAGGCCATAGGATACAATGGTCAAAACAATGTGATAATAACAACAAAGATGAGAGCAACAGTTCATATATGATGAAGGCCATAGGATACAATGGTCAAAACAATGTGATAATAACAACAAAGATGAGAGCAACAGTTCATATGATGAAGGCCATAGGATACAATGGTCAAAACATTGTGATAATAACAACAAAGATGAGAGCAACAGTTCATATGATGAAGGCCATAGGATACAATGGTCAAAACATTGTGATAATAACAACAAAGATGAGGGCAACAGTTCATATGATGAAGGCCATAGGATACAATGGTCAAAACATTGTGATAATAACAACAAAGATGAGAGCAACAGTTCATATGATGAAGGCCATAGGATACAATGGTCAAAACATTGTGATAATAACAACAAAGATGAAGGCCACAGTTCATATGATGAAGGCCATAGGATACAATGGTCAAAACATTGTGATAATAACAACAAAGATGAGGGCAACAGTTCATATGATGAAGGCCATAGGATACAATGGTCAAAACATTGTGATAATAACAACAAAGATGAGGGCGACAGTTCACATGTAAATAATGAATATCACATTGTATAGAGGGAACTTGCCTGTATATAAAAAATATTTTATAAACTCTGTAATATACAAGAAGAATGGGGGGGGACGACATAAAGTGGTTAAGAAATGTGCACGATAGAATCAATTATCAGTATCATTTATCCAACAATCAAATTTTTGGTTTCCACCTCTTCTCCCTCTAGATAGGGATTAAATAGCAGGGCAGACTGGGCTCGCTAGCCTTGGTTGGTAACCAGTCTAGGCAGATGACAATAAATTCAAAACCAATTAGGTGTGGGGCTTCACCCCATAAAAACCTACAACAAAAAATTTCATCCTATAATAAACCTCCAACATAAAAAAGCCACAACATCAATCCTTAGCTCTACTCCACAGCGGGGTCTGCCAGGATAACAACACATCAGATGTCACTTCTTAAGAATAAAAATAAAAAATATATGCAATCTGACAAGATTCTTAAAAATCTCCACAGGTGGATTAACCACTTACCTTCTAGTTCTGGGTAGTAATACTGGAAACAAGCAAACTTCATGGCCGTCGAGGATTCTATGATTGGCTTTGTGGTGCAAAGAAGGAAAGTGTCGATTTTAGTGCAATCTCTTGTGCGGAACTGTTGACAGGCGACCATAAGCTTACAGTCCTTGCAGTCTCTCATGAAAACACTGGCATAAAACAGAAATGAAAATCACAAGTCAAAAGGTTTTACAAAAAATCATGTGCTAATTGATAAAAAGCATTTTCTATGAAATGGATTAATTCTGACAATTATTTTATATATTAGAAAAATATAATGTATAAACAGAAAATGTATTATATATATATATAAAAAATTTATAACATAAATATGTTATAAAATCACTACAAAAATAGCCATTTTGTTTCAACACCCCTGGTGTCTTATCAAGTGATGATGTTGAATGTAAAATAAATGGTTTTAAAAGTTTCAAATTAACAATCCTTCGCAAGGGGAAAACGTTGTTACAAAAGCTAGATTGACCAATCTAAATACAAGTATAGGAAAATTCAAAAAGCTTGACAACGAAGTCACGTTATAATAGCTATTCAGATCTTTAAAATATGGGTAATATTAAAAAAGAATTTATTCTAACCAATAATTACTAAATTATATGATAAAATTTAATATTAAAATCAAAAACTACCAATTTCAAAATCCAAATTTAATCGCTATTAAGTTTACAACCATAAAATTACTGAGGAGAAAAGAAGAAATACATATGTTATTCAATTTATTTCTTCATTGAAATTACGTTAGACGCTAATGTTATATCCGGTCCTCTGACAATATATATGTATACATTTTAATCCCAAGTGTGTGAACGGGGTCCTAACCTCACGTGTAAAACAACACAAACACAATCAGATTATAATACATAAGCACCCATATATATATATATATATATATATATATATATATATATATATATATATATACACACAAAAAGTGACGAGACAGGGAACATCTCCATGGCCCTTTATGAAAAAAAAAGGTGGGGGAGAAAAGGGGAAACCAACACATACGTACATACATACACAATTAAAAGTGAATGCACTTTCCATACACATAGACACCTATAAATACATGTACACACATCCACAGACATTGACCCAAACAATCAGATACCACAACCAATAAATATTTAAGACTGAAACTGTCATTACACCAATCATATACTTGGTTATATATATATATATATATATATATATATATATATATATATATAGTTTTAAGGTATGCTACATATATGGGTTAAAGTGTTCAATATCAAGGATAAAGTGTATGTAAATATAAAAGTGGACATTGAAATCAACACTCAGAGGTTAGTCTTGACTTCAATGTCCACTTTTATATTTTTAAACACACACACACACACACACACACACACACACACACACACACACACACACACACACAGTGTCTCTAACATCTGGACACAAATCTCATTAACTATGGTTTTTTTGTCTTTTTTACCTCCACAGATTAAACATTGTTCTGTCCTCAGAAGAAACAATTGACTTCTTTTTCTGGGGCATGCTAAAGGAGAAGGTGTACTCAATGAAAATCACAGATGCAACACACTTGACTGAATGCATAAAGAGAGAATGTGCTAAATTTGACAACAATGTGGAGTTATTGCATCAGGTTCACATGAATTTTACAAAGTGCATCACAAATTATGGAAATCATATTGAAGATGTTATTTGTTAATATTGAAGTTCAATAAAATGCTGTTAAAAATTTCATTTCTTGAAATTATGCACTTTTGCCTGTGTCCAGATTTTAACTTTACATATATATATATATATATATATGTGTTTGTGTGTGTGTAAAAATTTCAGATAGAGTATATCTGTAAAAGGACAATATGAATAAAGACAAAAGGAAAACTTATCTTAGCCAATGTGTTTCATCCTCTGAGTGACTTTTCCTTGATAAAGTCCCTCAGAAGATGAAACATTGTGGCTAAGATAAATTTTCCTTTTGTCTATATATGTTCACTTTTATATTTAAATACGCTCTGTCTTTGATACTGAGCACTTTATCCCATAAATATAGCATACCTTAAAACTATATTTCTTCATACATATATATATCTCCAAGTACAATGAGAAAAAATGGAGTACACTTCCAATGTTCATAACATTTAATTTAAAAGAGGGCTTAATACATAGTAGAGCAATATTATTTATTTTAGGATATTACAACAAAAACATGTAAGAATCGCTACACAATTGCAGTCGTGATTCAATGCATAACAATGCATCTCCTCAGGCAATTGTAAATTACTGGGAAGTGAATGATTAATTTTTTGTTTTAAAAACAAAATACATCCTTATTTTTTGGAAAAAAGAAATATAAAACTTGAGGTCTAACTTGATCAATCAATCAAATATGACCTACATTAAATTAAAACTAAGCAAAAAAGAAAAAAATTAGAAATTACTATCTTAGAAATGTGTCATGACCAGAAGTTGCCATCTAACAGCAGCCAGACATTAACTTAAAGACTGATACAAATGATTACAATAAATGTACACATGTCAGACAGTCAGAGGTGTAGAGAGGTAATTTAACTGAATACCCAACTAGTTATAAGCTTTGTGGATTTACTACATTTTTTTGTAGTTGATAAGTAGCTTCTTTAAGACTAGTGAATAATCTAAACATTACTTGGTAAATTATAAGCAAACGTTAAATAAATATCATCCATCAAATTTTTTAAAATTTTCATTTTAACTTAGGAGTTTTATTATTATCTTTTAAACTCCAAAAATATTTAGAAAGTGATGTATTATTTCTATAAGTATTATTGGTGAAGGAAAAGTTATGTTGATGCCACCTAATCGTAAAAGAATTCTTAGTACTACCAATATAGAATTTTTCAACCATCAGATTCTCTATTGTAGAGATAATACATAGGTAAACAAGAGATTTAGTTAAATAATTGTTTAACAAGGGGCATTGGTCGGAATTCCTACAATTACATTGGCTAGTATCATTATTTATTTTAGAACATGCATTATGATCCAGATTATTAAATTGGTTTCAAATTTTATTATTGTGTAACTTTTAAAACTGTTTAGTATTCTGCTCCCCTACAGTTGAGCACTGTTGACATTTATTACTCATATTACTATTATTTATTATTCATTACTTTAACATGGACTAGTAATAGGATTCTACCTCAGAGCCCTTAGGATATGTAGCCCGGGATGCCTAAATGAGGAAGAGAAATATATTGAGAAAGCTTTCCAACTTCTCAACTACACACATCATTTTATCCTCAATGCTAAAAAAAATGAACTTACAAAATCCACAAAGCCAAAAAAAAAAAAAATAAAAAAGCAGACACCACCAATAACAAAAAAATTACAGAAAATTCATAACCCCACCCTCCAACACTCTACTAAACTTGCAAACAAATTAGTCATCTCTAACACTAGGATCGTTACCAGTACCTTCAAATGGAGATATAATTAGGAAGAAAAATAAACCCAACCCCAATTCAAATGGCGGAATTTATCAAATAAATTGTTTACAATGCAAAAATGTTTATGTAGGGGAGATATCATGTGATCTAAAAGCCCGCATCTATGAACACAATCTATCTCCCTTGTTTTGCATTGAAACAATACTGGACATAACTTTGATTTCACAAATTCCACCCTAATTAAAAGAAAACATAATTCTTTCAGGAGAAAATACATTGAAAACTTAATGATAACATTATTACCAACTATAAACATATGCCTAAAACCTTACATTACATCGCCATCTTTCTTTGAATCCATTCTTAAAGAGGTCAGCTATAAACTTGAACCTTTTGACACTCCACTGTATGAGTTGACTGCACAAAGATGAAGATAAAACTCCCACTAGCCAGAAACATATACACAATTACACATTACCATCCCCACTTAGACATACAAGAATCTTCACAAACTTATATACACACAAAATTATCTATGATTTTAAGACATGTGACATGTCTGACCAGTGAGAATTGACTCAGACATAATTGAAAATACCAGTGTTTCTCGCTTTTTGTCTGTTTTCTCTCAATCTCTGACAAAGCTTTATTAAAAAGTGAAACATGTTAGATTGATATACATTTTCTATTTGTTCTTTATTTTATCATCCTTTCAGATTCTGGTCCATATTTAATCTGCATTTAATCTTTTAACTTTTTATATATATATATATATATATATATATATATATATATATATATATATATATATATATATATATACACACACACACAGAGGTAAAAATCCACTGGTATATAATCCAAGTAAATCCTAATAATATAAAATATTAAAACTGATCCACAAAAAAGAGCTCAATGTATTTATTATAACAGAGCATATAAATTACATAAAATAGACATCCAAATTTACCTCATCAGAATAGCTAATTCAACCAACAAGTCTTACGTTGGCATTTTCAACTCAGAAGTGTGTCCACTATACACATTTTCAGTGACTGGTTGCACTATACACCAGGTAAACTTTGGAGGGGAGGAGTTTAAAATTCATGCAAAAAAAAAAAATTACACTATACAAGATGTCTGCTTATACCAAAGTATATATATATTTTTAGGAATGGATTTCTCATATTTTAATTTACTGCTTAAACATTTTTAACGGATACTCGAGTGATGAAAGAATGTCACATCTAATGACAGTTTCTCCTAAGGGGATGCAGATTCGAAGCATGCTGGAGAGCACATATTCTTCTAATAAGATTACTAAAATATTCGGGCCAGTAGATGGAAATGAATAAATATACTGTTTAAAAAAATAAATAAAAACAGCATCTACTAAAATATGGGTATCCATTAAAAATAATGTTTAAAGCAATAAATTAGAGTGTGTGTGTGTATATATATATATATATATATATATATATATAAATAAATAAATAAATATATATATAAATCAATAATAAATAAATATATATATATATAAATATAAATAAATATATATATATATATATATATAAATAAATATATATATATATATATATATAAATAAATATATATATATATATATAAATAAATATATATATATAAATAAATATATAATAAATATATAAATAAATAAATATATATATATATATATAATTTTACTCTTCTTCCTC